GAAGCCAGAAATGATGGTTCGAACCATTTTCGGAAAACAAAAGTTCGGGATTGATTCGAACCAAAATAAATTGGTTCGAACCCAGAACTCTGAACAAGGAGAACATGAGTTAATTCTAATCGTGGGGAAAGATTAGAAACCTTGGATTAATTTTCCTGCACACTTAGCACAAAAATAGATTAAACTCTTTTGACTTATGGTTTTAAATCATCATCAAAATACAAAGAGAACCTAACAAATACTCCAAACATAAGTTCATAACTTTTTATCATCTAATTCATAGTTCGCTAATTCTGTGGCCTTAACATCATTAACTCCTTTTATTATTATACTTTTCACGACACTTTTACAACAACAAAATTATCAAATAATGATGACTATTAATAACCATGGCAAATAGAACCTAGCAGAAGCCTACCATTCCTTAAAATTAGTAAAATTGGAGTGAAATTTGTCATATCATAATTTTAAAGTTGATGTCTAATTTAAAGTTTTAGTTTCTCTCCCTTAACATCTTTTGATCATTTAATTTTCAGCTGCTCAGCATCAAAAACCAATGGCGTTAGGTCCCCATTTTTCTATTTCTTTTTTTGAAGATCATTTCTTCTATTTCGATTCTCCATTATTGGTTTGGTTTCAGAAAACTTTAAATTGATTTGGATTTTTTTTTTCCATTTTAGTATTATTGTTTTCCCATTCTTGGGCATTGCCTGCTAATACTTACAATGTGGGCTTGGGTAAGTTAGGCCCAGCTCTAAGCTATTTTCTTTTTGGTTGGATTTAAGCTTTATAATATGTTTTAATTTTTTATTTCAATCTTGATTTTTTTTGGTAAATGAATAGGATGTGGCTTTTAGTAGAATTTATATAATTTTTATTTTTGTGCAAAAAAAGGATTTGAATGCATAATAAAAGAAGCTTTTGGACTTAATTGAATATTCTTTAAAAGTTAAGAGACTATTGGGGGAAGAAAAGTAAGTTTCAGGGATCTAAGTGAATGAATAAAGTTGTAGACTAAATTGCTCATTGTATAGAAATTAGAGGACCAGATTGATATTTTATTATTAAAAAAATTGCAGAACGATCCAAAAACCCGACACGGGGTTTGGTGTCGACGCTACCTGTTAGGTGTGGACACCATGCGTTAAGCCTTTAAAAGATATAAAGATGCAGGATGAAACAAACAAGAGTGCTGATACCCAAGTTGTAGTGTCGACACACCAAGCACTTTTAGCTTTGAAAATTTTTATTTTGTTACACGTCCAACTTTTCTCAGTGGGATTTTCTTAAATTTTAAAAGATATTCAGTAAAAATAAGATTTGAGAGATTTTGCAAATTCAGAAAAGGACAACAATGGGAAATTTAATATAAATAAATTAAAATTTAAGATTTTATATGGTTAAATTAGTTTTATTTGTATTTAAATTTTTATTTTATGATATTAAAT